GGGCCATGGAGTCCAACCCCCTGCTCGATGCAGGAATCCAAATCAAGGCAGATCTGAGAGAGGGTAGCTGAAGCCCATTATTGCACGTCCTGCACTATCAGATCATCAAGACGAGATCCTGTCCCTCATCTGTAGGACTACTTTTCAAGTCTTTGTAAATTGCTACCATTTCTCTCCCTCAGCCTTCTTTTCTGAAGGCTAAACATGCCCAGTTCTTTCATTCTTTCCTCCTAGAGCTTGGTTTCCAGTCCCCTGATCTTCCTTGTTGCCGTGTTCTGAACTGGCTCCAGTTTCTTGGCGTCCTTCTTAAAGTTTTGTGTCCAGAAATGGACACAATATTTTAAATGAGGCATAACCAGTGCTCAGTAGAGGGGAACTAGTACAGTCGTGCCTCGCTTTACGATTGCCCCGCATCACGACGAAACCACATTATGACAATCTTTTTGCGATCGCAATTGTGATTGCAAAACGATAATCTAAATGGGGTTTTTTTTGCTTTGCGATGATTGGTTCCCTGCTTCGGGAACCGATTCTTCGCAAAATGACAATTTTCCTACAGCTGATCGGCAGTTTCAAAATGGCCATCGGGTAAACAAAATGGCTCCCTGCTGTTTTCTGGGACGGATTCCTCGCAAGACAGGCAGCGAAAACGGCTGCCCTATGGAGGATCTTTGCTGGATGGTGAGTTTTGACCCCACTGGAATGCATTGAAGGGATTTCAATATGTTTCAATTGGGTTTTTTTTCACTTTATGATGTTTTTGTTTAACGGTGGTTTTCCTGGAACGGATTATCATCGTTAAGCAAGGCTCCACTGTACCTCATGAGATTCAGAGACTGTATTTCTGTTAATGCATCCTAAAATCGCATTTGCCTTTTTTTTTCCGGCCATACTGCACAGTTGGCTCACATTCAACACATTTTTATTCATGTTCTCCACCATCTATAGGAAACGTGTCATTGCTTGGATGCTGTTGGACCGGGAATTTCATTGTCCCTCACCATTGTCTTGGCTTGCTAAAGCTGAGTTGGGAGCACTTTGGAAAAGTGGCACAAAACAATCAAAAGGCTCCTAAAAATGTCCAAGTAACATTTGGAATTAGCTAGATCGTATGGCTTATTACCCCCAATAAAATAACTTTGCTCCTACTCTTTTCATTTGAAATATAATTTCATTCCCTCTTTGTTACCCAAAAGAACAACTAGTTACAGCTCATTGCCTTGCTTGTAACCCTCCAATGTTGGAAATCAACTGCAAGGTTTATAAATAGGAATATATAAGTATACTGAAATTAATACAAATTTCATAGCGACCGTGGGTCCATAAATAGCAGTCACAGGGACTTGGGAATGAGAGGAGAGAGGGTTTAATTCTGCTCCCCTGTCGCATTCCCATTCTAGAAATTGCTACTTGGGTCCTTTATTAGCTACCCTTGAGATACAAATGGCAGCTGCAGATATTTGTTTATGAGGACCACGGCAGGAATAGAAGGCCACGATGCCTCTCCTCTGTGTGGCTGTGGATTACACAACTATTTCTTTTAAAAATCAGTTTACCATTCGTATGATCTAGTTGGGCCCAGTCTTGAGAAGCCACTATCACAATCTTCAATAGCCGATGGATGACTGGGGAGCAGTGGAGTACGCTCTGGATCAGCTCTGCTGGTCCCTTCCTTGGGTCCCCAGATGTTCTTGGACTACAACCCCCAGAAGCCTTCACCACTTAGGTGTGCTGGCTAGGACTTCCAGGGGTTGTAGTCCGAGAACATCTGGGGATCCAATGTTGGGAACCACTCATCCAGATGTTGGAAATCGCTTTGGATCACTTTGCTCTTGGTCTAACTTTCCACTGGCATGGTATCTGTGTCCGTAAGACTGAAGGGGATTTTAATCCGGCATAACCTCACTCCTCTCCCTCTCCATCCTTTTTCTGCCTCTTTTTTCACTCTCCTGCTGGAAGATTCTTAAGATCAATCAGCACAAGGGGTTTACACCTACACTAGAGCGGTTGTGCCAACCCTCCAGGCTTCTGACCATTACAAATCCTTGCTGGTGGTGTATCGTGGATCTCGGATCTCACTGCAGGTTGGAAAAAAATAATAACTTTTAAGATATTCCATTTATTTCCTATGCAAAGGCAAAGACACAGTTAACAATACTACCAACATACAAAAGATGAGATACCAGCAGGCTTGTAGAAAAGGTTTATAGAAAGACATGCAAATCTGTAAGGGGGAAAAAAAACGGGCAACGTGATCTTAATAGGCCTGTTTAAAAGCAAGTCCCAAAGAGTTACCATATTTTTCGCTCCATAAGACGCACCTTTCCATAAGACACACCAGTTTTTTAGGAGAAGAAAACAGGAAAATATAATCTGTTTTCTTCGCTCCATAAGACGCACAGACTTTCCTCCCCCCTGTTTTGTGGGGGGAAAGTGCGTCTTATGGTGCGAAAAATACGGGTAAGTGGCATTTATTTCATGTGATATCAAGTCGATTCCAACTTTTGGCGACTCTTTCCAGAGTAGAGAATACTCAGAAGTGGTTGGACCTTCCCTCCTTCCTGGAGGGGGTTGGTGTAGCCCAAGGCTACACAGGCTGTCTCTTCTCCTGGGAGGTTCAGTCGAGAATCACTGAGATTTATCAGGCCGGAAATATTTATAATATCACGCTTTTATGAGGGGAATCAACCCATGCGCTCAGTGACCACAGAAGGTGGTCTAATTGTCAAGGAAGGGAACAGAAAACTGGAGAGGAGGAGGAAAGGGAAGGGAGTATCCAGGACAAGGCCACTGAGCCCACGCCGTGGCAAGTCCCATCTGTAAAAACTGGAATAACAAAAGAGACTGCCTCGTGTTTTGCTACTCACCTGCTCCATTTCCACCAACAGAGTGGTTGTTATTTTCGTTCTCTTGACTTGGGATCACCACATGGAGCTCGTTGAGATCAGCGGCCGCATTCTGGATCCCGTTCTACAACAATAATCCACAGTCAACCTCTTCAGACAAAGAGTGAGGAAACTCTTCCAACCTGAGATCTGAGTTTAATTTCAGAGAATCTCTCAGGTACTACCCGCAGTGAGTAGCACCAAAGGCATAAAAAGGTTGGAAACCAAAGAAGTAGAATACTTTCGATGAAAGCTCTTATGGCCAGTAATGAAGGGCACAGTCACACATGCCAAAAGAACGCCCATTATATCGATTCTGCCATTATCTAAATGATTCTATAAATTTTCATTCGCACGACATGAATAACGTTGATCCATTTGGCCAGCCAATCTTTTTTTTTCCCACCTCACTTTTCCCAACCGTCTTTTTAAAAATAATCCGATCCCTTATCATTTGGGCAAGTGTGAATGTTGTTGTCAATTTATTTATTTTGTGAAAGGTCCGGGTTTGGGGGCACCATGGCCACTGTGTGGCCAACCATGCTTGCACCCCCCTTTGTTTAAATTTCACGATAAACCTCTTACTTTTTCTTTTTTTTCTGCACCATTTTACTGAAGCATCTCTTAGCTGATATTTTCCCTGTTGTAAGTATCATCCCTGCTTTTGTGTAGCTTATAGTTAATTCTACCCCCTTCAGCATTTCAACAATGTTTCAAGTCCATTTTAGTGCTGCCCTATCGAGTGACATATCCCACCAGGTGGCACGTTGACTAACTGTTGGAAGTGACAAGAATATAGCATACATATGCCGCTGTTGTAGGACATGGTGGTGCTACGGTTTGAACCGCAGAAGCCTCTGTGCTGCAAGGTCAGAAGACCAGCAGTTGTAAGATTGAATCCATGCGACGGAGTGAGCTCCCGTCGCTTGTCCCAGCTCCTGCCAACCTAGCAATTCAAAAGCATGCAAATGCGGGTAGATAAATAGGGACCACCTCGGTGGGAAGGTAACGGTGTTCCGTGTCTAGTCGCGCTGGCCACATGACCACGGAAGATTGTCTTCAGACAAACGCTGGTTTTATGGCTTGGAGACGGGGATGAGCACAGCCCCCTAAAGTCGGACACGACTGGACAAATTTTCAAGGGGAACCTTTACCTTTACCTAGCAATATATTGCTTATGTGGTGTGTGTTTTTTTAAAAAAGAAAGAAAATCTTAGGGCAGTGGGGACTCAGAAACAGGACAGAAAATGAATTGATTTATATGAGATGGCAATTATAGTTACAAAACCAGTGCAAATAGCAAGAAATGTATTGATTGAACTGTGAACGAGCCCAGCAGTACATATACGACATGACTATACATACAACTATATTGATATGAAAAAGGAGGAAAAATAAACTATCCAGATGGTCTGTGTGATTAGGCCCTAAGACTTAGAAGAGGCATCCCAACATTTTGCATTGGTGAAATATCCAGAGAAAAACTAGGAAGTCAGCAAATGCTAATATCATGGGGAAAGTGGCCTGGGGGTGTTCAGGCAACGGGAAGATTAGATTGCCATAGATCAATGAAAATATTGACGAAAACA